TTGTCCAACCAAAACAATCAAAGCAAACTTGGAAATTTACCACAAGCTATCTTCAAATGAATGGTTATTCATAACTACCGACCCAGTATCAGCAACGATCAGTTGTGAACGAACTCCAGAGAAATTCACTGATTTGACGATTGAAAGATCAGGAATCCTGAAACTTCAACCAAAATGCAAATGTTTCACGATGTCTTCGATTTTGGCAGCATCATCCAACAAGTCGAGAAATTTCACTCATTACTTCCCTCGAGTAAATATCAACACAGACGACTGTTGTGTAGACGAGATCCAGAAAATCCAGCAAATATCCATGGATCCACTTCAACTAAGTAGTATCAACTTAGATGAACTACGACATGCTAAACACAAGCTAGAGATGTTCGACGACACCTTACAGAAAGAAATAAACAAACCATTTCTAGGTGAACATCATACATTGTTCAATATCTTACTATCAATATTAGTCATGCTGATAATCATTATGGCAATATGCTGTTGCTGTTGTCGCTATTGCTGTAACTGTCAATGGATTCCATTTATCGGACGACACGTACCAAGAAAGAGACAACACTCAGGCATCCGAATTTCCTATGACAACCACTCTATCACGAACAGCCAGGTCTACATCCAGACAAGAGACAACGAGAGAACAATACGAGCTTCCAACGAACACGAACTCCAACCACTGAATCGAACAACATCCACCCCACAGTTGAAATCCATGCCGATACCAGAAGAAGACGAGGAAGACACGCGATCATACAGAAACCCATATAAATCTGTACAAGGTCGTAGGTCAGTTTCCCGAGACAAAATTTATTAATCAATGCAAACCCGCATAGATTAATCTTAAGGAGGGAGAGATGTTATGTTCCACGATCCACGCCACTGGAATATTATGCACCTTGCAAGTCCATATCCAGTGACATGCTGATGAAGCCAGAACGCGAGGAAGACACCAGAGCATACGACTTCAAGATTGACTTTCCAACCGGCATTGTATCAACATCTCATTTTGTCACTATATTATCATGAATCTCAAATCAACATTTTATACTGAATAAATCAAATTGTGCAAGTCTACTCATCCTTCTACCTTGACCTGAGCAGAACCTAACACTATATATGAAATAAGTATGTAATACTTTTCATGATTTAACTATTATTTTTCCTCAATATATAGCCTATCCCACCATCGACAACTGGAATGGCGTGCAGGTTGTTCGTGTTGACAAGAGAGTGCGGTAGACAAAACTGCAAATTTGCCCATGACTTTTTCTACTGCAGGAAGCTACCGCCTACTTGTCCTGGTAACACCTGCACACAGTTTCACCTCAGCGGTCCAGAGTTGAGGGAGGTGAAAGATAATGTGCGACCATATCGCGAAGAGGTAGCGAAGGAAGTGGACAGGGTGGCAAATGCCATAAAAATGGCAACTCCTGTCAATTCGAGGATAAGCTTGTGCCTCAGGATCCTGACTGGCAAGGCCTGTCATGCAAGTCGGTCACCTTGTAGAATGTGCCATCGTGCAAGCCGATCAACGAGGCACATAGATGAAACATGTACGTAATAAAAAAAATTTAGTTTTATCATAATCATCATTATCCATTCAATTCAGATCGATTTGCGTTGAGTACCAAGTGGCCTTCTGAAAATTCGAAATAACCCTAATATTCAGAAAGAATAGACATCATTCAATTCATACAGGGTGGCATTTTCTCTTCGTCTGTAATATTTCCATCCATGCAGTGTTGCCGTTTGTATAAAGAAGTAGCAATCTGGATATTTCAAATGAAACACCCAGTGAAATATTTCATTTGCTGAATCTACGTTGATTCCAAATTCTCCTATATCCATCAAAGCAGTTTTCGGGATAATAATTAGATTCTGAAATTTGTGAGCAAAATATATATGTAAATCAAATTTCAATATTTTCATAATAATTCGAAACATTCAGAGCAAATATTCTGGAAATGAAGAGGTCGAACCCAGGAGCTCTAGATCGTTCAGGAAAATCTTCATGGAGGTTGATAATTGAGATAATTCCAGCGTTTTATGTGATTCGGAAAACTGACTAGAAGTCTTGTTATTCAAATGAACCTCCCTGAATTTGATTGTGATTTAAAATAAAATATTATTGTTCTCAGTATTTTCATATCGTGAAATTGTCAGGAGGTATGATCTGAATGACATGAAGGCTAATTCCGAGAGTTTTTGGTATTTGATCAGATATCTATCATAACATTCCTTCATAATGGATCAGATTCATTTTTCATCTGATTCTTTTATCATTCGATGGTGGTAAATTTGCATATACATTTCATCAAATAATCTGCGTGTTATGCTGATAATTATATCACACTATCCTTGTACAATACATAAGTTCATAAGAACTGTATGTGAATAACTGTTTCCAGCCATTTCACGTATTTCAACTACAAAAGTTACATTTTGTTGATGAACCTTATAACTCGGTACCAAATGTTATTTTTCTCAACAATATCTATATATCAGAATAATAAAGTCTGTTCTTCAGATACGTTTGATATGCCATAGGTAGGTACACTGTGAGTCACCCAGTACCAAAAAAACAAAAATGTATTCATTCAAAACAATCCATTCGAGTCAAAAACTCATTCATTTGATTCTTTGAAATTGTTCACCTCACCCCACTACTCTAGGGGCCAAATGATTATGTTGGAAACGGAAATAAATTGTTTCATTCGCTCCTCAACATACTGTATGATACTGAGAAGTCTATGCGGAACATATTCGATATCCTTCTTTTATACCGAGCTACTTTACACCTCAACAGCTTCTCATGATCTACAAAGCGCAGATACGGCCTGTTCTGGAATACTGTTTCCACATATGGGGTTCAGCACCAAAACATACGCTAATACTCTTAGATTCCATCCAGAGAAGAGCCATTCGCCTGATGGTGGGTTACGCCACACTCACTCACTCTTTGACATCATTGGAACACCGTAGAAAGGTCGGCTACCTTTCACTTATCTATCGATACTTCCACGGGAAATGTTCTTCGGAAATCTCTGCTATCATCCCTTCACTAGCAATACCAGTCAGACAAACTAGACAAGCCCAGTCAGCACATCCTCTCGTTGTCAGCCTCGAAAGAGGTCGAACAGCACTTTATCAAAACTCCTTCATCCATAGAACGGCTAGGCTCTGGAATTCATTGCCTGAGGAAGTATTCCCAACAATATATAATCTCCAGAAGTTAAAAAAAAATCCAATACCCACCTCCTATTCCTATCCTCCCTAGGAACGCACGATGTTCTTTGAACATCATAGGGATCTCCTTTCGTGCGCTCCAAGCGATAAAAAAATCATTTGAACGACCTTTTCTTGAGTTATACCAGCAAACAACAGTGTGATGCATATCTAAGAAAAAACTTCATAGAATTTTCCCAAAGGGATAGGTACTTTCCACATTATTTTATATTCGGATAAATATCAAAGCCTTCTATCGTCCGAAATTCCAAAAATCGGGCAATTTTTTTAGGAAGTTGGAAATATCGATTCAGTTATAGTATAACTATAAGGCCGAGTGACAAGTAACAATTTGTTGATCTATTTTGTATGTTCCGTACATCAGGTCAACATCGACTATTCTATAATCATTTCATTTCATTGTAGCAAAGATCATAATAGATCATACACAGATAGACAACGCCTGTGTAAAAATTGGCAACGGTCCGATGGGATCCAACAGACCGGTGGCTAATCGGCTGTGCTGATTCATTGACCAAATATTAATATCAGAGTCGGTGAAATACGCGGCGTTATAATGAATAGATGCAGACAGCGGATTATCACCGCTCTGTTCGTTCCCAACTTAGCGTTGCCCATTCTTACATTCACGGTGCCTATCTAGTGTGTGTATGATCTCTGATTGAAGTATATAGGTAGTTGAATATCTTCTTTTTATTTTTGAAATATGCGTTATGATTATCAAGAAGCATCAATCAGTATCCGTACTTTCTTACTTTTTCACGTTACTAAATGATGAAATGACAATCACCGTCTGTCAGTAGGAAGTAAAATAAGAATAATAATCAATCCATACAGGCGCACTATGTGACTTCACATACCGATGATTTATAGAAGGTGTGAGTTGAGAACTTCAACATTATGCATTATGAAATGTACTTCATGACTTACTCTGTCATGAGTTTGGTTAACTTAACATTGAAACTACAGTTTTCAAGTTTCATGAATTATACACTGAATTTATGTTTATTGATTGAATTTCATTAAGATATCCACTAAATCCGCCTTCAGTTTCAATAAAACACAATTTCTAGGGATGAGGTGCCAATACTGCTATTTTCCCTCTCCGCAATGCTACCTCAGGGGCTGCCATCATGTTTTCCATAATAGGTGTATATCAAAACTGGAAATAAATTTGGAAGGTGCACTCCCATCTTATAAATGCCTAGTGTGCAACAAATGGGGAGGCGTGGATTTTCCCATGTTTGCTGCATTTGGTGAGTATATAATTGTCATCGCTTCAGTCATCATTACTCATTATTCAACAAGACGACCTCGACATCAGTCTCTTTCTCTTGTCACCTCCTTATTCCTGAAGCTATTAAACATTTTTTCAGAGCCTCCTACTATTGACTTCGTATAGCTCCCTAAAGGCTGAGACACAATTGGGCCCTGTTATGCAATAAACTACCAACCCACATACTGATAGTTTTGAGTTATCACCGCCGAAAGTTTTGCACAAATAATTTATTCCTGTTTAATTTAGTGAATATCAAAACCAATCATAACTAAACCCATTGATAGTTCAATTATCATTATACCTACACAAACTTGATTTTTTGAGTATTTTCCAAAAAAAATATGAACTTTGTGGGTTGGCTGTTTTATGCATTTCAGAAAAAAAGACACCACATTATACAATGACATTTTTAATGATTCAAAAACCTGTCCAAACATGTAAAGAGGCAAACAACATTTTCCCACTATTCATCAACATCAAAGTCCAGTTGCTCTGCGTCAAATCCATCTATATCCTCAACTATTCTCGGATCACTCTCCAGGCTAGTATAAAAACTCAAAGCATCAGCGGGTATGAGGTGAAGCATCTCTTTGAGATTCTTCAGCTTTGGTTCGGCAATCGGCTTTCCTCGTGGCCATAATGGCACAAGATCTGTGAATATAGTATCGGCATTAGATGGTCTTCCTCTAGTGTTTTTTTTAATGTTCACTCTATGATATTCATTGGTGAAGTTGTGATGCTTGAGTTGAATGTAGAACGGCTCATCTTTCTGCAATTTTATGGATCTCACATGCAACCAATTTATTTTCTCATTCATCTCCGTTTGCTTCCGGTTTACTATATTTTTTTCAACTTTCTCAACACTGAAAAAGTCATGTGATTCCATTTTTCTAACAATCAATGGTTTCTTCTTTCGGCAGGTTTTCATAATATCTATATAATCATTAGGAGTATAAAGCCGCTGCTGATGCTTTAACGCAGATTCAATGTCACTGAAATCAGAATCATTGGGCAGGAAGGAATGCCCGGACATCAAAAAATTCATGGTCATAGTTTCAAGGCTGTGCGATTGGTGCAGAATAGATTTCAGAAAAAGTGTTAACTTTATGTTTCTATTCTGCCCACCACACGCGTCACTCCAAAAAATTAAATGTTTTACTGTTGGCGATAAGTGGTTTTGAATATGCTTCAATAGGCAGGATCCCACTTCTTGAGAACCACGGCCAGCTGTACCTTCAACCCACACATAACAATATCCACAGTCTTCTTTGCCACTATGGACTCCAGCATTATATACCCAAAGCTGGCGTTTATAGAACACTATGTTAGTGGGGATGCGGGGTAACGGAAGGGTCTTCTCTAAGTCGAAGGTTATGCATTCGATTTCTTCGCACTCTTTCGCGGTCTGAAAATCTTGTCTGCGCAGCCTTTGCGCTTCTTCGGCTAACTGTAAATGCTCATTGTGTTGTTTCTTAATATCATATTTCCTCTGTTGATCCGGCTCGTTATCTATTTTAGTTTTGAAGGTATCGCAGGTATTGCAAGTGTCTTTCTTCGGTGGCTTCATTCGTAAATTGAAATGTGTGTAGAAAATTCTTTTGTAGGAAGCAATACTAACTGGATTATTTTGTTCGGAGCAATACACCTTATACATTTTTTGTATTGTCATCCCTGGTGGAAGAAACTTGGCTTCTGTTTTTTGCCGACTGTAGTGTGAGATGTATACCGGTATTTTGTTGATTTGATCGATAACACTTTGTATTGCTGTATCTGGGAGCTTATTCTTTCCACCCGCGATACCTCTCTGGTCAGTCAGAGCCATCCGTCCATGAAATTTCTTCAAAGCAGTATCAACTCTACATGTCGATATACCTAGTGTATTGATGAAAATACTGCGACATACTACTTCATTGTCTATTTTGTACTTTCGAGAAAAAGTTCTTTTTGCTGGATTTCGACCATATACCCTCTGTTTTGGGTATTCAGTCACACTTGCAGCTATGAAGTTTGTTTGAGAGTCATAAGACTTCAGAGACCAAAAACGATCAAACTCTTGTTTCCTCTTCTCCGCAGAAATTCTGTCGGAACATTTTTTGGGACAAATGCAATGAAAATCGATGAATTGTTTTGGATCGACTTTCGCACCCTTATGGTTATAGTATGATGCATTACTGTTCTTCTTGATTTTTTTATTGCTCTATTTTGTTCCTCAAATTTTCGCTTGCGTCCCTTTTTAGGTCTACCTTTATGTTTATTCAAATTCTGTTGTGTTTCATCATCCTGATTATCGGAGTCAGAAACTATCTGATTATCTAAGTCAGCAACTATCGGATTATCTGAATCAGCAACTATATGAAATGGTTGTCTATTAGTATTGGTTACATCTATTTCATAGGAGGGATCTGCGACAGAGTCATCATCATCTTCTGACTCTGAATACTCTATAGCTTTTGCACAATGTTTGCGGATTCGCAAATTCATATTGCCGGTAACTGCTGAACTCGGTCCTGGTTCTGTTTCACATTCATTTTGATCTGAAACAAACATCGGTATGTAAACAGGATATCAAACGAATTTGCAGAGATATTCTTAGTCATTCTCAAGTATTGATTAGGAAATTTCAGAAAACTCACACAGAGCAACAACAATGAAGAAATATGTTCACGTAATATCATGAAAAAACTATTCGGGCACAAGGGAATTATTCAACAATGTTTTCATGTTTAGTAGTATATACCTTCTTCAGAATACATTGATTGTGAATCAACAAATTTTAGCTGATGATTTGCAGCTTGTGAGCCCCTGACAACTGCGTTCCTCTCTTGTGAAACATCACTGTTTTCTCGATCATCTATTTCTTGTTCTTCAACAACTTCCAGCTGATGGTTCACATCATGTGAGCCACTGGCGGCTGCATTCCTCTCTTGTGAAACAGCACTGTTTTCTCGATTATCTATTTCTTGTACTTCAACAACTTTAAGCTGAATGTTCACACCATTTGAGCCACTGGCGGCTGTATTCCTCTCTTGTGAAACAGCACTGTTTTCTAGATTATCTATTTCTTGTTCTTCAACAACTTTCGGCTGATGGTTCACATCATGTGAGCCACTGGCGGCTGCATTTCTTCCTTGTGAAACATCACTATTTTCCTGGCAATGTATCTCTTGATCTGAAATTGATTGAGAAGTGTAATCAACATGAAGCTACCAAATCATATTCAGAAATGTTATTTTTGTCTGACAGTCATAGTACATTGCATTTTTCACATTAGAGAATTGTAAGATTCAGTTCGATAAGAAGAAAAACATAAGGAAACCATTCTTTCATGAAATAATAGTTGAAGAACTACTAGATGTTCAGTATCCTGAACCATAACCTAAAATTCTGTACATAAAAAATGATAAACTTACTGTTTTTAGTTTTAATCTTGGCCGCAGCTAAGATTTTCAAAGTACGGCGGTTGCTGTTCATGCTTGTTGTGAATTGACACTCACTCTTTCACTTCTTGTGTGATACTTTCAATGTTTTTTGACACAAAAAGGCACCTGTTAAGCGTATAACTGATGCATCGAACTTCATAACACGGTAGAGACAAGTTCTGCATGAAACTACCAACCCACTTGGTTGGTGAGGTTTGACCGCGAAATTCAAAATTACGGATCATAAAATGAACCAAGTGGGATGGATGTTTTATACATAATTTGAAGAAGACCAATCTGCGATCAGAATATTTATTCTGTTTAAAATTGTCCGGTACCATGACGTCATTCGGCTTGGTCGATTTTTGCAGAATATACTTTGCTTAACTCTCGATCAGAGAACGAAATATCTGGATAATGTTCAATTTGTGGGTTGGTTGCTTTTTGCATAACACGGCCCAATTGAAGTTTTATGTTATAAGTTTCAAGTTTTATGATTTAAGATATAAGTTTTATAAAATGAACACACAGGTCCTTGTGGCGAAAGACAGAATACAAATTTATGAATTAGGAAATAAGTTTCATGTTTTAAGATACGGACGTGATGGTTTTTATGATTTAAAATTTAGAAACCCAACCAATCACAGCAATCCTTTTTCACACGGAACTATTTCTGAATTTCTGTGCAGCTGCATGATGCATGCCAAATAACCTCAAAACAAAAACATCAAAGATCCATTTTTAAAAGAGTTTTGAAGAAAAACGTTGATTGATGTGTGAAAATAGTATAAAAACATGACACAATTTCATGATTATACGAATTTAGATTATTCGAACATGAAATTATTAGAAAATGAAACTGATACTGAAATAACTGAATGTCCTGACGAAAATACACAAAGTGAAGAAGAAAATGATACTGTAAATAGTTCAGATGAACTCTTGATTCAGGTGGTAAAATCATACAACCTTATTGGTGAAATTTCAGCTTTTATATTTTGATTCTGTTTTGGATCCTGTTTTTATTTTTGATACATAAATCTTAAATCTAAAACCTTAAAATTTATAACATAAAACTTCAATTGTGTCTCAGCCTTTACCTCATGGTTATTGGTTTTCTGAAAATGACATCAGCGGTGACCTGCGAACTTCCTTCCCATTATGTGTTACCTTTGAATTGACTATATTTTCAAGGGATATACATTTCGTACTGTGAGGTTATTGGCTATTCTAGAAGTATCGAAATGATATGAATGGAATCGGCGCCACTGTCAAATTTATCATTTTATTATTTCTATAAGATCAAGAAAAAACTAAGTACTTTCGTTTTTAATACTATTTTATAATTTCATCGACGAAAGACAATGCATTTCGACAAAATATGACACTTTATTCGACTGTTGTTGCTGTCAACAAATAGGACGAAATGTCTGAGCCTTCCCTAATGAAATATGGTCAGTTATACCAAGCATTCCAAAAATATTCTATCATCAATTGTTTTTTGAATGTATACCTATATCGACTGTGATTTCGGCGCAACGGCTATCATCAGACAAACAAATACCTATATTCTTGAGATATGTGCACAATGTAAGTTGCGAATATAATAAATGATAAACACAACCTAATGATCGTTGACGAATATTAGTCGTGCTGAATGTTGATTTTTAACCACGGCTAAACAACCGAAGAAAATTGCTAGAAAAACGAAAAAACAAAAAAACATATCTAATTCAATTATCCGAGCTTCATCGTAAGATTTTTGCATTTTCCAATCTAGTTACTAATTTTTTTGAAACCTTGGACCACACGAAAAGAGATTTCTATAATTTTCGAAGAACATCCTTCGTACTTTGAGAGGATATCATGAAAGGAGGTGGGTGTTCGAATTTTTTTGAACCTCTGGAAGTTATGAGTTCTTGGGAATACTTCCAATTCAACTTACCAATTCGTCAGTTCTTCAGTTTGTTCTGCCATTATGAAAAAGAAGCTATATTTAGGATTGGTTTCGATTGATTCTTATCTAACAATATCATGCACATGATGACAAAATGGTACGATTTTGTGTCTAATGATAACCGTTATCCGAAACTACAGTCTAGCACAACCATAACGAAGTCACTATGAATATGTATTGTAAAATATTTCCACACTATACTAATCTTTGACGAAAAGATCTGATATATAATTCGATAGTCCCGTTTCATCAATCAGCCACAGATATATGCAGTCGTTCTCTGTGGGATATAGGAAAATTTAATATGTGAGTTCAATCTGAATGATATGAAAAACTTCGTCATTTTTATTATATGATAGTTTGAATACCCTACAAATCTCTTAGATGGAATCGAGTATACCTATATAAAATCATGAAATTTTTTAATAACTATTGACCATACTACGGTTGAATAAAACCGTTCATATTTTGAATGAAGAACTTTCTCATGATTCAGATGATAATGAAACTCATTACCAGAGAAAAAATTCACTACGTTCTGTTCGTAATGATATACGTGAATTCTCCAAATTTTGCGAACAAAATTGATAGAATTTACTCCAACCCTCCATACCAACATGAGTAACTACCACAGCTTAACTACCATACCTCTATCATTCGAGGAATTGACTCTTTTATTGAATTCATATTTGTTTTGTTTTGTCAGGAGGTGAATGAAGGTTTGAGATCCCTACTCTACCCCAAGCAGAATTCCTACCAACCAGCATCGTGTTTTCCACCAGCATCGTGTTTTCCACCAGCATCGTGTTCTCCACCAGCATCGTATTTTCCATCAGCATCGTGTTTGCGATCGGCATCGTGTTTTCCATCGGCATTGTTTATTATCATCGAATACGGGTTTGAAATTCAATACTCACAGTCTGTATATATGTGTATATTTTTAATGTAAACAAGAATATTGTATCCATACTATTCAAGTTGGATTACCCACAATATATACAAGGTAATTCACGTAGGCCACACAATAAAAGTTTTCCAACTTGCAGTTGGATTAAATACTTGGGAATTGGTGACCAGTCAAAATCGATAATTTCCAATCCATCTAAAACATTTTTGTCCTCCAGCTATACGAAGTAGGCGGAATGACGACACCAAGTTTTCCATTTTCATAGAGGGTGTTCCTTAAAGACATGCGAATATTTGAGGGGGTGATTCTCTGACTCATTTCAAGAAGAAAACTTCACATGAACGCATGTCCTGAAAGTCTTAACTTTTGAGATACAGGGTGATGAAGTTTTGAAAAATACCTATTCAGTTTTTTGATAATAACTGAGACAATATAGTATACATCCTCATGAAATTTGGTACACGTCTCGTATGCATCATGATGCATTTTCTGATTCACAAAAATTTTCATTTTCTCCACCAGTGGCACCGTTGTGGAAATATTATAATTTATATTCCACTCTAAAGTGAGCAACGACGAAACAATTTCAAATTTCATATAAAGGTATTGAAGGCTATTTACTTATGTTCAAAAATATCTTCTTGTCGATGGTCCATAGAACGCTTCGTTTTCGAGAAAAAACGGAAATACGAGACCAGACTTCAAATTTTGATGTCCCTTACTGGATAACCACATTACGTAACATTTTGAAATTTGTATAACAATTCATTCACATAGCAGACTGAATTTTGCCAATACGAAAACCTATACAGGTGGACAAAAAATAATCTATGCATATTTTCAACATTGACACCCTGTATCTCAAAAGTTAGGACGTTTACGACATACGTTCATATGAAGTTTTATTCTTGAAATGGGTCGAAGAATCGGCCCTTTAAATATCAGCATATCATTTAGGGACACTCTGTATATCTACGAGCCCCGTCCAGCTTCATTCGGCCCATACATAAAATTATTGTGTACTATCGCACAAGGATTAAAACCAGCCTTCACAACGTGATATCTAAGACAAAATTATACTATTTGGAGGAATATTGAAGAGACCTTGGTTCGATGAATAGCACCTTGGTCGAAGTACCTATACTAAGTACGACGTGGATTGAGGTGGCTATGAGAATATCGCTTTTCTTGACAGAAACGACAGTGACAAATGTTTTGATTGTGAATGACTGAAGTTTTTTGACATTGTTATATATGTGGTCAAAATGGGCAGAGGAACTCACCAATTTCGTTTTTTTCTAGTTTAAGGCAAATATCATTTCCAATTATTGTAACTCGTTTTTATTTTTCTTAATATTATGCGATATGTTTTGAAAATGTTAATCTTTGAATGAAAGTGGATAATTCCACCTCTATTAGGTGAAATGACCTTCGATATATGGCAATAATTGATATTTGATCGGGTGGGCCAACTAAAGCTGGACGGGGCTCGTATACTTTTACAAATTAACAGTATTTATGTTATTATTTTTTAACTCTGATAATTCTATATTTATAAGGCTTATTGAACGTTATTACCCAATTTCTTATGTGTCGATGAATACCTACACGGAAAAAAAGAAATGGTCGAATCGAGCAAAATTCAATTGAATGAAGCAGATAAAAGTGTCATATTATATGCACGACAAAACATAATCTTGAAATGACTGAATCTATATCTTGTTTCGGATCGAATTCAGAGTTTGAATCAAATAAATATGTCTTGCATGAACTCTGGATTCTATTCAATCAAGCTCATCCATGAATTATTTATGAAGAGATACTGAATTGTCTCAAACAATCATTTTGTATGAATCAAAATAAAAAGATATCGATTCAATGAAATATTTAGTCGATTGAATGAAATATTCAGTTGATTCAATCAAATGATTCGATTAAATATTTGGTTGATTCGATGAAATATTTGGTTGATTCAATGAAATATTTGTTAGATTCAATTGAATATTTTGTTGATTTATTGAAATATTTGGTTGATCAAAAAGAAATTTCACGTCAATAGATTCAGAGTTAGAAACTGAACTAGGGAACTAGTCGACTTCCACAATAGATCTCCAGTTCTTACTACCCTTCACTTTTCAGCTGATACAAGGCTATTTCGGCTTGCTAAGCATCCTTTGATTCATCCAACTGATATTTAAAACACGAAGAATCATCAGGCTTCACGTATAATAATGAATTCTAGGCAGGCATTTACTAGGCGAAAAGATCGATCTGGTGGCGAAAATTTGACTTGATGTTGAATGAACGAAATAGTTTATTGATATTACATATTTCGTTGCTCAATTCAAGCAAATGATCCATTCGAAACTTGTTCATTGCTACATCGGAATGATAAAACTTGCATGTTGCTTCAAAGATATATTTTTATCAAAATTATCATTATTTCATCAAATCAACAAAATTTATATAGTTGAAACAACATCGACATTATTTTGGATCGACATAATTTGTTTTTGATATAACCATATATTTTGTTGATGATGTTGATATCATACTGTTGATGCAATAAAATTACATTATTGAGTTGAACATGCTGCTTCTAGGAAATATTCATGTAACTGTTCGATTCAACAAAAAAAATCGTTCAGTCCAACGAAGATATTTCAAGCATAAATAATTTGTTCATGCAACAAATCCTTTTTTCCGTGTATGAAAACATATTACCTGTACATAATATTTATGTTTTATTCTTTTTCATTTCTATTTCATTCATATGTTGTCAGTGATTGTTGTTTATAACCCTGAATATTGCAATCTCAAACATTTATCCATTTTAATCTTCCACTATTTTCATGAATTAATCAACAGCGTTGGAGGAGCCTGATTATTTATACTATTTATATTTTCACTTATTTTCTTTGTTCGTATTCCTTTTTCATTATCTTTCAATATATTTCTTTTATATCATTGATAACCACTATTTCACTTCATGTTATTATGTAGTGTAGTATAAACTACTTCACCTTCGTATAATGCTGTATAGAATATACAACTCTTGCTGAAAAACTCATGTTCGTATTATTTATATTCAATATACTCACCGTTGATTATCTGATCTTTTGTTTGATTATATTGTCCGTAAAAAAGGTCCTACACTCTGAATCCCTCAGTATAGCACCAAAGTTCAAGTAGTAGATGATTTATATAGATCCATTGACAGTTTTCCTCTGAAGCCTTAGTGGAATCCTCTGGTTATTCAATACACATAGTAATGGGAACCCCAATAGTGGATATACTGCGGCCAAGATGAGGAGGGCCAGTATGAGTATCTTGGAAAGATACAGGTTTGGTTAAATAGCGATAGTAATTTTCACACAACTGAATTTCTCGAATTTAATTTTTTTTCTGGCGTTGATAATGAAGTTATGACAGAACTGAAGAAACATATTCATGTCAAGTTCTGATTTTCCTCAACTAGACATCAGTTTTCTGGTTCGACGTTTCGCCTTTGAGCAACCATCATAGACTTCATTTTTTTAAATATGGCCTATGGCTATTCTGAGCTCAACAATAGTTTTAAATCTTTTGGCGCCCGAAAGGGAATCCCTACAAATTTTGTAGTTTCAATGTGTTTTGAGTTCATTTTTCTATTATCAAATAATTTTTGGAATACGGACCTGAATTGAATTTCTCATAATTATTTATGAATAACTCTATTTTCGATAAACTACTTGATGCTGACCAGAATGAGCTCGAAACGCATTGAAATCATAATGTGAAGTATACTCATATCATCAACATTAAAATGGAAAGGGATTTTCGAATCTGATATCAAGCTATCAGGACCGTATTTGAAAGAATGAAGTGAATTATGATTGTTCAAAGATGAAAGGTTTAATCAGAAAATCGATAATACCGAATAAATCATCAGAAATTTATGATGATGTTTCTTTCTGTTCATCGCTTGGAGCGCACGGAAGGGGATCCCTATAATGTTCGAAGAACATCATGCGTACCTAGGGAGGATAGGGAGAAGAGGTAGGTATTAGAATTTTTCTTGAACTTCTGGGGATTATAAGTTCTTGGGAATACCTCCTTGAGCAATGAATTCCAGAGCTTTGCCGTTCTATAGACAAACGAGTTTTGATGAAGTGCTGTTCGACATATTCAGTTTTGTCATTAGTCCATTATCAGTTTTCTGAAAATAACACAAGAACCAATAAGAGCCATATCAGAGATTTTTGAAAATCATTTTATTGGTTCTTCGATCGCGCATTTTTTTTTCTTTCTCATCAAATGTGATATATCTTTTCTGATTGCCCTTACTGCCCCTTATTATCTTGGACACAGTGTAAACTAATAGTTGCCTGAAAACAAACACATCAAGATCTGGATGTATTGTTTTGTTACTTGGAATAATCCTGAAGTTAGGTTTTTGATTATTGAGAAACGTGGAAAAAACGTTAGCTCATTGTATGAAAGGCTCATATAATTTTTGACGTGTTTACTGGTCGAGTAGGTATTCGAAAGTTTAATTTTGTTCAATAATGCCAATTTTGAAAAATTGTACTTCTTCAAACGTGTTATGGACTGAACGGAGTTTGGCTGTATGCGAATCATAGGTATAAAAGTTAGTTCGAAGTACTTATACAGGATGGTTGAGTTGTGGGGATTCATATTGATTGAACCATTCAATGCATATCATTCGTGTGATATGGTCATTGTGAAAACAATGGAATTTGCTGAATCCATGTCGTCTTCAGAGATCAATATTTCAGCAGATTGATAAATTTCACTCTAATCATCGCACTTATTTTCACAGATTCGGGAGATGATGTCAGTCTTATATTACCCTCTTCTGAAGAGCCCGTCAATAATCTGCCCGGTACATCGAATAGTTTCGAGAAATATGGGAACTTAAAAAATGTTAATTCGACTTTCAGTGATTCAAAAAATGTTGAACTTCGAGGATTTGATTATG